GTCTGCCTACCCCTCACTCCCAAGCCACAGCCCTCCTAGCCCTGCTGCTGCCCCTGACTCCTGACCCACAGTGCCCCGCATTGTACCCAGGGTATGTGGGAATCCCTCTCCCTGGGCTCCAAACCCCCCACACACACACCCACAGCCCCCCACACTCCCCCTCCACACCCATCCCCCAACTGTACAAAATACCTGCATAACTTTGAGTTTTTCTGTACATAATTTTGAGTTTTTAGCTGTGCGATTAAAATCAGGATTAATTATTTTTTTAATCGCACAACTAATCGTGATCAAATTTTTTAATCATTTGACAGCCCTAGTTGTTAGATCAAGAACTGAAGTAGTCTTTGGAATAGGGATTAGGACAATGATCTCCTATCTCCCATGTGAGTACTATAATTTCTGGGCTACAATCAGGCTCACCGGGCACGTCCAAATTGTGTTCACCCAGCTGCAGCATGGGCATAGCTGACAGGGAGCTGCATTGGGGCTGGGCAGCTTCCAGCTGTGTCTGTGGCACAATGTGGGGACAGGGCTGAGGGAGAGTGGGGGAGAAGTAGCAGCAGCAGCATGGACATGGTTTGCAGATGCCTGGCCCCAGCACAGCTCCCCTCTGGTTAGAAGCTGCACCTTTGCAGCATCTGGGGAGGAGGAGGCCAGGGGAAGTGGCAGTGGCTCAGGCACAGCTCCCAGCTGTATGGCCCCAGTGTGGGTGCAGGGAAAGCCCCCTACCACTGACACACTGCCAAAGCCACCCAGCCCATGCTGGACCAGAGCCAGGCTGTTCTGACCCCGTCTTAGGTTATACAAGACATCAGACTGGCCCCTTCTGACCTTTGAAATGTGAATCGACAGCTTGGAGGTTGAAATCCTACGTATATCTTCAGAGCGTACTCGGTGGCCTGGGGCACTGCAGACTTACACTGCCCCTTTCAACGTGCCTTCCACCTTTAAGGATGAGATTACATTCAGTTCCCAGGCCCACCACTCAGTCCTCACCCTGCCTGCTGAGACTGCCAGTGAGGGTGCTGCTTGGGGTGAGGGTCTCTCTGGTGTGGACACCTGTCTTCAGGAATCTAGATTAAGACCCACCAACTCATTTCACAGATGACACCAAACAATAATATCTGTCATTAGACGTTTGTGACACTATATAATCATCATTCAACCATCATTTTACTTACAGACCTTAACATAAGCAACAAACCTCTGTTTCTATTACACTCCAAAGGTCCAGACCTCTGAGACAGATGGGGACAAGCTTCATTTGGCTCCACCACAGCCTGCAAAACAGTTTCTCATCTCGCCTCCGGCCTCTCCTCCTGTAGGATGGCAACCAATAGATGATGCAACACCTGTCATCAACTATGACCTTCTTTATGCAGTTTCTAAACTAGGACCAGGTAAGGTTTGTGGCTTTCTTGTATGGGAATGCATCAACAAGCAGATCAGAAATAGGGCAAAGAGTTAATAATGTAACTCGCCCCCATGAAGAGCATCAGCACAAGGCTTGCTCATCACTGAAGCCCCGATTAAGCCCTTACATATGTGATCTAGAGGCCTTGTAGTGGATGTTTGGTTAGGAGTGAATTTTAGCCTATATACATAACTACCAGTATTGTTTCCCAGCTGGAGACAGCTCTGTTGTACAAGGCATAGAGTTGCAACCCCAGCTCAGAGGCGCTTACAATCTAAAATGCAGACTGGAATACACTGGGCACATGCCTACCCCCATGCAGCCTCTTCCCCCCCTGCCAGTGCCCATGTGCGCTGTTCCCCAGCAGTGAGTGGAGCTGGATCGTGCCTAAGAGGGAGGGGAGGGGGCAGAGGCTGCAGAGTGGGGGGCTTCAGAGAGCAAGCAGGGAGGCGCAGGTGGCTGCTGTGTCTCTGCCTGGCCCAGACTCAGACATGTTCCCTTTGCCCCCTCTCCCTTGTACACAAATCTAAGACAAGGGGCTTTTTTCCTCATGCTGAAGAAGGGGCTCATCTTGGATTTGAGTTAACATGGTATACAGCGACCAAAGACAATGCTTATATATGTTTTCTTTCTGACAAGTTCTGCTAGCTGCTGAATGCTTCATAAGCACTCTGACCTCTCAGAGTGGAAAGAGGGATCCTCGCAGGACTGAGCCCACAGAGAGAAAATCGCACACCCCACTTTCAGGAGTGGGGCTGTGGGGCTTGCCTATGGGGTTGCTCAGAGAAGCAAGCAGAAATGAATGGAGACAATTAGAGACTCCTAGAAGTGAGAGTCAGGTGACAGTGAATAAGTAGATACAATGGAAGTAGGTCCTCCCATCCCTGTGGTGGGTGAGGGCTACCTGGGAACATTTTAACCAGGTGTTTTCCATTACAAAATCCCAGTTTGTGGCGACCAGACACGTTCCCAGATCAAGCCCAATTTCCCTTTTCAAAAAAATTGAAACAAATTTTGAAGCTGTTGAAATGACTCATTTCAGCATCTTCAAAATGAAACTATTCTATTTGTAGAGAGTAAACTATTATTTAGGCAGTTAAATTATTATGAAGGTTATTATAATTTATCATAAACCTTAAAATATTGACAAAATAAAAATATATACATTATCTAAACAAAATTGTTTTGATTGGCCTGATTTAATTTCCCCGCCTAATTTTTAGTTTTGGAAGTTTCTGAGGGTCAACTTTTTGACCCTCTGAAAATTTCCTCCTGCTTGAGTCAAATGTCCAAGAAAATGTCCAAACTTCAGAAACTTCTCCGAGGGCAGAAGAAGGGTTTCATGCTCATCTGTATAGGGGGGACCTCTTTGCTGTATGGCTGCCAGCTGAAGAAGTCCTGACAGATGAGAGAAGAGTTCCTAGAGGGAGGGGATGGGACAGCAGACGGCTGGTCCCCTTCAAAATCCATGAAGCTTATGGGACCATCCCATGATGTTTTCAAGTGAGAGCCCAGTCCGTGCATGTCCTCAGTTCTGATAGAACAGCATGGGGGAAATCTTCAGCTGGGAAAGTACCCAGAGATCCCCTGTCTCAGCCCCATCACATGGGCTTTCCCGCAGGATGGGATGATTAGGTCCAGTGCTTCTTACTGTAATACAGACCATTATTCTCAGAATCAAGCTTTATGCCTCTAAACTGCTGAATACCAGGAAAACAAAGAGCCCTCCTTTCTCCTGGCTTCAGCAGCATTATAAATGGAAACATGTAAACGAATCCTCCAGCTAGCTGGGTAATAAATCAATTCCTGTTCTGGAGCAGTGAAATGTGAAATATCACTCATTATTCTGCACTCTGGGACAGCAATGCATGAAGGTCATATTCACCCTTGTTTAAGGAGCCTGCAGGGAACAATATGAAAAGTCATTGTTTCCTCTCCCTCCCCACCCCTCCTACCTCCTTTTCTATTTTTAGCATGTTAAGGAGATCAATTTTAGTTAACTGCAGAGGAGGTTTTAAAACTGCTGCATTTCTCAACTGTGCACTCGCTATATTTAGGATTTCATTTAAAAAATCTCTCAACCCTCTGCATTATCTCCTTTTTAAATCATATAGCATTGGCAGAGGCAACATTTCAAGTATCTCATGCTTGTTTAAATCAGACGGATCTTTCCCCCGTCAGAATCCTTTTCTGTGGTTGAGTTATTACCAAAAAGAAATGGGTGTTTTCCACTGTGGGAGAAGAGGTAAAAAGAGCCTGGATCCTGCAATCTTTACTCAAGATGGCATTTCTGCTCATTTCAGTATTCTGACTGGCTGGAAGGGAGCTGGGGCAAGACCTGTGCATCACCTAGGTCCCACTTAAAGCCTAGTGCCCAAAGAGGTGGAAGCTTCCTAGGTCCAATAGCCCTCATGCTGCCCCTCTGTGCATGGGTGACTTCTGAGAAGACTTGTCCCAGCACTGACCTTGATTGGTTTTAGTCCATTATACTAAACATGGTGTAGAATATGAGTAATAATAATAATGTTATGCACCAATGAACAACCCTCACCTCTATGGCCACAGAGTTTCCCTTGTAACAGAAGTGCTGTAGTTTTCCTGAATAAGAGCATAGCATGGACTCAAGGCCACGTGTATCCCCTTCATGGCTCTGGGAGACGCCCAGCCCTGCAGGATACTTGGGGAGGGGTGAGGAGGAAACTAGGACAGTGAGGTCTGTTGCGGTGGCTGTTGACCAGCTCTGGGCTTGGGTGCAGAGGATTGCTTCTTCCAGTGCAGCCTGCAATCCTCTGGCATTTGCTCTTGATATTCCAACAAGAGGCTGGATGAGGGCACTAAAGGGTTGCAGTGAGGTTCTCTGCAGTTAGCTGGATTTTATTTTTACTGGAAGTCTCAGAGCACTTTGAAAATACTAATTCAGTGAGCCTCATGCATCCCTGGGCAGTAGGTGAGTATTGTGTCCTACAGCACCAGCTACAATTATGTCTATCACTCCCGGTATCAGCAGTATCCGAACTGAGCCCTGCAGTACATCCTGTACAGAGGAGCCCGTCTGTCCCAGAGAGTCCCAGACATCTGTGGTATCTGTTTTACAGATGTTAAGGCTGGGCTAAGGGAGTTTCTGTAAAGCACATAGCACACACCAGTGGCAGAAACAGTGTTCTTTCCTAACCACTAACCCACGGTTCATGCTGTCTGTTATGAGTATGGGAGTGCTGGGGTTTTGGTTGTAGCCGTGTTGGTGTAAGGACACAGGCAGGCAAGGTTCTTTGCGTAGACATGGTATCTTTTATTAGACCATCTTAGTTGGAAAAAAGTTCTTTGCAAGCTGAGTATGGGAGTGTCATTTACTTATCTGCATATTAATATTCACCCCAAACAGAACTACAGAGTTGAGGGCGACATTTATCCATCTGTAGAGGGTCACTTCACTATTGTGAACACCAGACACATTTATTGGCCTGGACTAGTCTTACAAGATTGTTAGCGTACCAAACTAGGTACAAAAAGTACTTAGCCACCCTAGCTATGGTCATCGCAGGGTAAATGATAATTTTAAGAGTTGCATGAAGTTGTACAAGACTGATGCAATCCCAGTTACCAGCTGTTGCTCCATGTGTGGATGGTTGGGAAGCTTTCTGGAGGCGATCCACTGAGAACAACATACATTTCCTTAGAGTTTTCCTAAGCTCAAATGAAACGAGACTCTTCTAGCTGCAAGTTCCCTTCCCCTCCCTTGTTTCCAGAATGGCATTGCCTGCACTTCCCACAGAATACTCCCTACAAATGCGAGATCCCCAATATCCATCTGCATTAGTTTGTTGTGTGTTGCTACCCAGGCTCTGCCACATGTTCTTACTAGTGAGCTACAAGAAGGATCCTGTGAGCAATCCATATAGTTATCCTTACACAGAGCTCCATATATTAATGCATATAGACTGTTTATTTCATATGACTCAGGTCTTTCAAAGGCCAGATTCAGAGCCTGTTTCTACAGCCTTTGTTCCCACTGAAGACACTGAAGCTATTCATATGAGTAAAATATACTTAGTCATGGCTAGATTATGATTAGCTCTAGTGCAGTGTTGCAGGGGAGTAAGAAAGTTGCATCTTCCATTGCACAGATTATGTTAGGAAACACGTAAATGTTGGCTTCAAGGTCTCAAGGAACCATACGGCTGGTGCAATATGCACTTCCCACAGCAGGCAAGGGCTAAGAGGTAGCTGGCTCCCTGCTGCACAGCCTTCCTGTACCTACCATGCTGCAGGTACTGACCTGTGGAGGTGGCTGGGCATAGGAGGGGAGTAGACTGCATCCTGAAAAAATTACAACAGTCTGCCAAGTGCAATCTAGGATCCTCAAGGAGCATTATCCTTCTCAGGGCCTGTCTGCACAGCCTCCCTCCCAGCCCTGGAACTGCCACTGACAACACAGGCCCTAGATGCTTGTTTCTGTGCAAGCACCCACAAGGTCCGCCATTTGGCAGAGTGGATGGGTTGGGAGAAAAAATGGTTTAGAGTGGGCCCTAGTGCTGCCTCACAGACTCATCCTTACATTCCCCCAAGACAGAGTCTGACTGCTGCCCTGAGCCCTGGGAGTGATGCAAGGCAAGAAACAGGAGCCCCATGGGAGCTGTTCTACACAGCAAGAGTCCTTTTAGCAAGCAGCCAGAAGAGCTGCAGATAGCAAGCCTGTAGGGAGCAGCTTAGATCCTGCTACACCTTTTTCTTCAGAACTGTTGTGTGGCATTGCAGGCGCACAAGGACCCAGAAGTGGCTGCATGTCAAAGACGGGAGAAGCAGTCTCTGTATATACAGGGATAGATTCTATCCTTGTGTGACTTTTGGTCTTTTTTTGGTAGATTAGCACAAGCAGGTAGAGTGCGTGGAATGATGGTGCAGGCACTCGCTCCGTAACAGCAGAACGTGTATTGATTAGTGGAAAGGGTGTCGAAACAGCCCTCCTCCGTTGTGACACGACTGAGT